GAGAAAGAGAGAGGTATAGAAAGAAATATCGATGAGAGAGAAACATCGATAAGCTGCCTCCTGCACGCCCCCTACTGGGGATGTGCCCGCAACCAAGGTACATGCTCTTGACCAGAATCGAACCTGGGACCCTTGAGTCTGCAGGCTGATGCTCTATCCGCTGAGCCAAACCAGTCAGGGCCCTTCTCACTCTTTTTAAAATTTCTTTCTAGATCCTCTTACTTACTTGTAGAAACAATTTTTCTTCTTTTAATGGCATGATGGAGAATTTCTTCAGTTTCTGAAGAAATCTTTACCTTTGCCTTATCTTAATTATCTTCCATAAAAATAAGCATTTTTCCCCTAATAAATGGAGTTTTTAGGGGTAAAATAGGCAGGTTTAGGGAGTTTTAGCAATTAGCGGGTCCATGGGGGAGAACGGCAGGGCTCCAAAGCTGGGAGCTGCAGAAGGCATACATTCACAGAATAAGGGTGCTGGGATCTGCCAGAAGGGATACCTTTACAGAAAAAAGGGGGAGAGGAAGCCACTCATTTACAGAATAAAGAGGAAGGCAACAGGGAATAAAAAAACAAATGGGAGAAAAAGAACAGAACCCTGCTGTGGGGTTTGAGCTCTGAAGCTGCTATAGTGACCAATCAGAGGGGATATCAGGACACAAAGAACTGCAGCCTTTATAAACCTTAAGAAAGAGGGACTTATTGGGTCTCTCCTCCCCTCCCCATGTGGTTGTTTCCCAATAAATTTCCACCTTTTCCTATACCACCTTTTGTCTGTAGCTTCATTCTTTGAATCCACCTGGATAAGAACCCAGGAAATCACCAGCTGTCTGGTCGGCCATTCAATCAATAAAAGACTAATATGCTAATGATATGCTAAGGCTGCTCAACCGCTCACTATGATGTGCACTGACCACCTGGGAGCAGATGCTCCAACTGGTAGGTTAGCTTGCTGATGGGGTGCAGCTGATTGGGACTGAGCTAGATGGGCTAGACACGCCCAGGGGCCCTGCCATGGTTCCTCCCCAGTTGGCCAACCTCCCGCATCCCTCCCCCACCCCAATTGTAAACTGGTGGGGTCCCTCAGCCTAGTCTGCACCCTTTCACAAGCTGGGCTGAGGGACCTCCCCCCACCCCCCCCACCCCCGAGCACGAATTTCATGCACAGGGCCTCTAATATATATATTCAATAAATTAACTGTTAAATGCTTAATGCTATGGCACAGACTGTAGAACACTAATCGCTCAGTAAATATTTATTTAAAAGCAAGAAGAATAGATATATAAAATATGCCATAGGTTCTATGGGACAGGCAGTGGTGTGCTGGAACCACTTGCTCTGGCTCATGAAAGGCACTGTTGCCCTGGCCAGGTGGTTGGAGTGTCATCCATACACAAAAAAGGTTGCAGATTCGATCTCCAGTCCAGCAGGTATGAGAGGCAACCAATTGATGTTTCTCTCTCATATAAATGTATCTCTACTTTCTCTCTCTCTCTCTCTCTCTCTCTCTCTCTCTCTGTCTCTCTCTCTCTCTCTCAAAAATCAATAAAGCATATCCTTGGGTGAGGAGGAAAAAGGCAACTCTTAATTGTTTGAAAAATATGAAAGCCAACTCACTTCACATTGGCACTTTAAAACTGGCCATTGTAGTAGTGGTAAAACCATAGACATCAACAAATACCATCAATCAAATCTCTCCATCTCAAAACCTGTTAAACATTTAGCAGCATACTTTTTGGTACAAGAGCACCTAATCCAGTAGGGGGTGGGGAGAAGGTAACACCTGAATTTAGGCTTTAAATGATCATTAGAAATATCTACCGTGGAACAGTAGAAGCATCTGGAGGCTCAGAACAGCACATTGTGTGAGGGAAGCCCTGCTTTGCTGGTGCTTACTGTTTGAGGATGGTAAGACTGGGGTGGTTTGGCAAAGAACATATAACGGACATGTTATGTAGTGTTTTCTAGTCCTTTTCACCAGAATTAAAATCCATGAGGACAGGACCTTTATCTTTCTTGTATACAACTGTATCCTCAGCTCGCAATAGCATCCAACATATAAAATTTGCTCTATAAGCATATTTGTCATTGAATAAATAATGGCAATGGGAGCAAGAGAAAGGCTTTTCATGTTACACAGCTAAATTTGCCTTTTAAGTGAATTACTTCAGTGGCATTCGGAAGATGGCTGAGAAAGGAGATCAGAGCACAAGGCTATTAGAGGCTATTGCAGTGGCCAAAGGCAATTGAGGACTTTAGGTGACATGGTGTTATTACATATGAAGAGGTGAGGGCAGAATACTTTAAAAATAGGTAAATTAATTGAAAGATGGGATAACAAAGAGGGGAGGGCCCAACATTTCTTGCCTCAAAATGGTTTTCAAGCCAAAACCGGTTTGGCTCGGTGGATAGAGCATCGGCCTGCGGACTGAAGGGTCCCAGGTTCGATTCCAATCAAGGGCATGTACCTGGGTTGCAGACACATCCCCAGTAGGAGGTGTGCAGGAGGCAGCTGGTCGATGTTTCTCTCTCATCGATGTTTCTAACTCTCTCACCCTCTCCCTTCTTCTCTGTAAAAAATCAATAAAAATATATTTTAAAAAAGAAAACAAATGGTTTTCAATTCCACATCCTGAAACCATAATTGAGATTTTACTATTTGAAACACATGGATAAAGTGTGAAACCATAGCCTTCCCTCTTTAAATAAGAAAATCACTTGCCTTCTACTTCTCTTTTGCACATCTCACATGCTAGAAAGCAAACCTGGTTTTGAGCCAATCGAAGACAACTTTAGGAAATAGCAGAGCAACAATATAGAAAGCACTGGGGTTTCTGAATGACACAGCAATCTCTCTCTTGTTTGTTACATTAAATATCCATTTTGTATGAAAAAAAACCTTAAAGAATAGTTTCTGGCTACCTTTGCCGGGGTTGTTCATAAGTAAGGACATTAGGGTTAATGAGAATTATCTGTCACGTCCAAAATGGAGGGGGAAAATGAAAAAAATGAGTTGCTGCACACAATTACTGCATTATTAAATTAGTGCTCTGCCCAGTGTCTGGCACAGTCAGTACTACATAAGTGGAAATGACTATTGTCATTATTATGGTGAAGCAAAAGAGAAATAAAAAGGTCCATACACCCATTTACTAACTCTGAGCAAATCCCTAATGCACTCAGACATCATGAATACTTTTCTATAAGCAAAGTATCTACACTAATAAAAGAGAAAAATGGTAATTGGCGTACGACGCTACCCTTTTCATTGGCTAATCAGGGCTATATGCAAATTAACTGCCAACTAAGATTGGCAGTTAACTGCCAACAAGATGGCGGTTAATTTGCATATGTAGGCATAATGCAGGGAGGCGAAAGGGAAAGCAGGAAGAAGCCCCCTGCCACTGACAGTGATCGGAAACCCAGGGGGGAGCTAAGAGCTGCCACTGCAGGTCCCCGCTGCCTGGGCCGGATGCCTAGGCCAGAGGCGTTAGGCCTGGGCAGGGGCGGAGCCTGCAACCGCAGGGAGCTGGGGGTCCCCTGCCCAGGCCTGACACCTCTGCCAGAGGCCTCAGGCATCAGGCCTGGGCTGGGGGCAGAACCAGTGATGGGGGGAAATGAGGGTCCCCTGCCCAGAGGCGTCAGGCCTGGGCAAGGGGCCAATCCTGCGATTGGAGGGTGATGGGGGTCAACGCCTGAGGGCTCCCAGTATGTGAGAGGGGGCAGGTTGGGCTGAGGGACACTCCCCCCCCCCACACCCATTGCACGAATTTTGTGCACTGGGCCCCTAGTTATACAATAAGAAGAGAATAAAGATACTAAGCACTTAGGAATAGCTGAAGTTTAGCTAAATTATTCAATACTTTGTAGCACTGTATTACATATTAAACCTTTTTATTTAGCTTTATTTTTTTTCTATAAACATGTTTTTTTCTTACTTGCTATCCACTAAGAAATAGGTTGGCTCTTATAGTAGATGGTTTTGCCATATACTTAATAATTAACAGTGCTGTCCAGTAGAACTTAATGAAATGAAGGAAAAGTTCTACATCTGCTATTTCCAATAAGGTAGACAATATCCCATAGACACATATGGTCCCTGAGTACTTGAAATGTGGCTTCCTTTCTGCCAACTGAGTACATTTATACGAAAATAATCCTTAGGCTATTAAACTTCAGTCCATAGTGACCACAGCATACCATGATATGGTAAAATAAGAACAATGTAAAGATCTAACATTTAAAAAATAAAGTTAAATGTATTTAATTACTGTATTCATATTTTAAAAATATTTTAAATATATCCTATATAATAAAAGGGTATTATGCAAATTGACCCTAACAGCAGAACCACTGGC